GTTTACACTACGGTAGTCGTTCTGTTTCTTTTTAAGACTAAACGGTGACCAACGGCTTACATCTACTTCATTTTGGTCTCTGGTCGTTGTCTTATTGTCAAACATACCACATCTTTTTTTTTTAAATGAATTAGTATATGGGTAATGGTAATTTGGGAAATGTAACATATTTTTTTGTATTACACTGAAACGTTAGGTTGTATAATGTAAGGTTGAAACATATTTGTGTGAACTTTTACTTAAAACGTGATGTTTGTGTAACCCTGACCATAGTATGACAATTCCGTAATATGGTTCGATAGCTGCTGTTGTATTTATGTGTTTTATATTGATTTATGTCCTTGCAAACTTACAAAATTTGTCACAAATTCTGGTCGCCGAATTTGTATTGTTCTTATAACTTGGAACACATCGACTTGATCATCTATCTTCATTTTCTTTAAAATCAAACTCAATGCAACAAACAGTCCACTCTGTGTTGCACCATTGCTGGAAAATACATGGACATGTTGATTATACATACATTGCTCATTTAACAAATCCGCGATAATGTTAGTGAACAAGGAACGTGAGAGAATGTATGCATTTAACATGAAAGTAATTAATTATCGTCACTATAGCTTTGGACGCATGAAATTATTAAACGTGTTGTTTTCAATTTTTTTATCTGTATCAAAATATTGAAAATAGGTGAAATTTGTTTTTAAAGTGCAAAGATTACAGACACTATTATATCGTCTAATTGTAATGTTTTAACATGTTTAAGGTGATAATTTTCAACATACATTTTTTATATGTTTTTTGTCCATAATATTTAAAATGAGGAAAACAATGATATAAAAAAATTAAAGTTATTTATTAATCTGAAAGGGGGAATTATTGTTTTAATAAACTAAAACCGAAATTTCATGTTAGAATGTCTATTGATATGCAATTCCACTATTTTTCTATTTAGCATTACAGAGCTAACATTGTTGCTATTCAAGACTTTCATTAATGAACGAACGTTTGTTAATGAATATAATAGCATGTTCCAACAATAATACATGAGTATGTAACAGAGTTTAGAATTGTTTATTTCGAAGTCTGTTTTGTATTTACGATCAACCTCAAGAGGTCGGGCTTGTTAAAATACCTGCAAACGACAGTCACTGGACCTGTGTGATGTTTTCGTTGATCAATCACTCTTTGCAACAGTACCAGCATGTCAGCTGCAGGAGGTAGCGAAGAGTTGCCACTTTCGCATTGTTTTGCGCAGAACACATGTATAGATCTTTTATCTTGTCTATTCTTAAACATACAAAAATGAAATCAAATTGTAGATACTTTCCTTCTGTTTCAGCATAGTGTATAGTGGGTAGTATTGTTTTCATTACAAGAAGATAAATATACTTCAGCTGTTTATATGTATAATCGTCCTTAACATTCATAAAATATTTGCAACTGGACGTTAAGCAAACAAAACATAATCACTTGATATCACTTTACGTCCTGTCAGCCGAGCAGTGTCATTGTATTGACGGAACAATATTTTGTACAAAAATGACATGTTTACTAGATAAAATATTAACTATAAAAATATCCACGTTTTCACAGGTGTTATACCGCTGGCTTTGTTCTTTAAAATGTATAAAATGTATAAAATGTTGTTTCTCTGTACCAATTTTGATATAATATGCTGTGAATCAATTCTCTTAAACCTGATATCTATGATGAGTTTCTTTACAACATTGGGTATGGATTGGTACAAGAATGTCTGTCATAAGTAAATGCTTATTTGCTAAGTGAATTACAACAGATGCGCTCAATTTTTTTTTCTACATGTTGCTAATTAAATAAATATAAGTCCCAAGCTGTGTTATATTACATTATCAAATTAGTGATCTTTTATAAAATTGCCAAGTGTAATGTTGTTTATGACGTCATGGTGTACGCTTTGGAACATTTAAACCAGCATGCAACAAATAATATCATGTGTGTCCTAAAAATAGACAAATAAACAATTCTTCTATAGTTTAAAACTAATCTTATTATCTTACCACTCGTTGAACAATAGAAAGTTGAACTTCTATCGGTGTCTTATCAATATCAAGGTCAATGTTAAAATTTTCAAACTCCAGTCTTTTCTCTGTTCTTAGCCATAATGGAGCATCCTTAAAATAAACCGAATTATGAAATTGTTACTTCAGATTGATAAGTAATAGTTATCCCATGAGGACGCGGTGTGTCAGTGTAAGATCACCCCCATGGCCGGAGGCCAGAGGGTGATCTAACACTGACACAACAAGTCCGAATGGGATAACTATTTTACATCCCAGCTGTTCTAGATTAGATATAAAACCATTTACGCTTCATAAAATCTAGTTTAGAACGCCACACAATAAATATAATATACTTTATTTATTTCTATATAGCATATACCCTTAATGAGCCCCGGACAAATTGTTTAAATATGTTAAGCATGTAAAATTAACACAGAGTTTTTATCCAGTCGTCCTGGTGTAGGGGTATGGATCGATGGTCTATATGCTACAGGTCTTGAGTTCGAATCCCAGCATAGACACTGGATTTTTACTACATAAATTTTGATAGTAAGTCTTTTCCGTATAAGTAATTCTAAGTTTTATTGTGGATTTGTCATTCACGCCAAAATGTGACTCAGATCACCCCTGGTAGAACAAAGGAACTGGGATGTAAGTATTGAGTACTATTTTATTTACTTGATTCATATATTTATGTGGTCACATCTTTTCAATATATTTAAAGTAATTAACTGTGGACTTTTAAAAATGAATATTTAGACGCAGTGAACACCAGATGACACACTACACGTGACAGGCTAATATATAATTATTTTTTCGTGATTATGTTTAAGATAAGCGTTTAATTAATCTTGTTATCATTATATAATAATATTTATCGTGACCCGTCTGTAATGTGGCTTTAGATTCCAAAGTCAACCGACAAACAAAAAATAAGCATGAGGATATACCATGTACATGTACTAACGTGTACCAACTACATTACAATGTTACGGAAGCAGTAAGTTTACAATTACACACTATACACTGAAGACAAAACGAACGGTCCGTTTTGTCCTTAATAATGTAGAAAATAATATGTTGAATTATGACCTGAAATATTTATCGCCAAAAACATCATTTGAACAATTTTGAAAAATATCATAACCTATCAGGATTTATTTTTATCTATTCTTAAAGATTTAAAATTAAAACAAGTGAAACTGCTGACTTATATAAATCCTTAAACCAAATTTCAGAAATCCTTATGATGTAGTTCCTGAGATAAATGCGACGAAAACTATTCATGGGACGGATGGACGAACGGACGGATGGACTGACGGATGGACGGACAGAGAGAGGTAAAACAGTATATCCCCACTTTTTAAAGCGGGTGTATAATGAGAATTAGCTATACGTAATTGATAAAGGCTAACCAACGCCACAAATAACAAGTAGACGTCAAGAGGTCAACATACGTCTTTATAGACAAAACATGTCTGAATTGTCCCTAGTGTATCAATAACGTTGTAGCTGCATTTAAACTGAAACTATGAAAGATCTGCAACAAACACGAATACCTCCAAATATAAATAAAACGTTAATTTGTTTTCAGCCTAAACTTATTATCACAGCTAGCAGTTATGTACTTTTTAAATTTTCATATAGAAATGATATTGAAGATTATAGCCTATAGGATATACATTTTCGCCGATTTCAATATTTTATATTGTGTTCGGTGTACATGTTTATCAGTAAACTTTTACTTTTGTGTTTTAAGTAACAGACAAAACGCAATAAATTTCCAGTCTAAATTCATTTTGTACAACCTGTCTGTAATAGCGGCGCATGCAGACCGGGCTTTGCATATTCTGGAAGTAGTATACGTACCACATATAATACATATGTTGCATATGTTGGAAGTCATGAATATGTATACCGTAACGTATATGTTTTGAAACAATCAGACGTAATGCATTTTTAATGCAAAATCATAACAACATTCGGTTAGCTAAATAGATCATATGATAAATATAGAATTAAATTGGCATCAATAAAAGAGAGGCGGAAGACACATAAGGAAATTAGCATTCCAACTGAAAGCTGTATACACACAGACAACGCCATTGCAAAAACGAAAAAAGACAAAACGACAAACAACAGTCACCAAAACACAACATAGAAAACGATGGACTGAGCAACGCGAACAGAACCAAAAACCGGGTGTTATTTCAAGCTATTTACTTTTATATATACTGATAGTTACGAATAAAACTGCCTGAATACATCCCATTCTAAAAATGTATGACAATGGTACAAATGTTTAGTGAATATATATTATATTGATAAGATTTACATGTCGTTGTAACTATCGAGATTCGATTAGTTGTTGATGCATGCTACAAAATAGGTATTGTAAACCGTTTTTTTTTTAAACATAAACAGTTTTAAATGCTAGACACGTTATTTATTATTTTGACTTATAGACTTAGTGGTGACATAAATTAACAATGTTGATCTTCTTTCTGTTCCGTCATTCTTATTCAAGAACTCCGATGACAATATACGGAACATGTATTTTACGTGGCTAGAAATAGGCGCGTCCAAGTTTTTCATGTATCATTCTGAATTCTGAAATTCAAGGTATGTACTTTCCCGCATGTATTGGTGACTCATTTCATGTTTGATTCATTTATCCTTAAAGTTTGATCATCTTAATGTTTTTGAAAATGTAAAGCTTATCGTCAATAAAATTAAAGCCGTCTGATATGTTTGAAGTACTGTTGCTCTTTTCATTTTACAGGTCAATATTACCAGATGACTGTCAGCTATTATGCCACCAACAGTTAGATTTATGCATACAGTCATGATCGTGTTGTCAAAAGAAATAATTAAATTGTTCGTAATTGCCTCACTTCATTAAGTGTATCCAATAAAACAACAATACTGGAGTCGTGATCATACACCATTGTCCAGAAATCAACCACAGTTTCTTTTAATGGACATTGGGTAACCAAAAAGGCTCCTTGTACTGAGTATCCCTAAAAATAATAAGATTTATATATTTACATAAAATTACTACAATAATATGCTTTTGAAGAAAATAATGTTGTCGAAATTAGTGCAGTATCACATTATGCATTAAAGATGATTACGTATTCATATACTTCAGAACCATTATTTTTTGCATAGATACTTTTTCAAAGGACTACTTGCATGCACGTATTCGGAAACCAAATGTTTTACATGTTCACGTAAAACTTTATATACTTTTTAAATACACCAACACGGGAATGTTGTATGATTCACAATGATACATGTGATACACATATTCATCACAGGTCGATTAGAAAGTGAGTGGTAGTCTACAAACGGGTTACACTTAGAAATAACTATTTCACAAGCTTTACTTAATTCGTTCTGTAAACTTGTTTAATGAGACCAACTTATATGACCGGAACACATATTGCATGGAAAATAAATACTGATAACTTTGCACTTACTGGTATTATAACTGCATTTATGTAATTGGTTTTGTTCTTACCAAAGGACATGAGATATGGCCTATAGTCATCATCTACAATGCAAATGAAAATGATCTGAGCAGTCTTGTAAAAACTGAAAAAAACCAAAACAGGAATATGTTTAAAACATAATCCCAAATCAATAGTTTAAGACGTTACATAAGAACATTCACTCGTCCCTATTTATGATACATAGCACCAAAAAATAAAAACGCTGTATCCACATTCGTGATGTTTTGTCTACTTGAGGCATTTTGTATACATGCTATGTCTTTATGCAGGATTTAAAACTTTTTTATCACATGATATCTATTTTATTTTCGATTTTAAATAAACAATAAAATGTGCGTAAACCTACATCTATGGGATATTATAGCATATTTTTCAATATATCTGCATCAATTATTAAATCAAGTCAGCAAAATGACATTTGTATTCCATTCGTTTAGTTGGTTGATATTGTCTAAAGTTTGTCAGTTTTTATGGACTTACCACTTTTTGCAATTACGTTGGAGAATTTTTGTCATACTTTTTCCAATAAATTTCTCGCAACAGATGTATTACAAAACATGTCTGTGGAAGCATGTCTCGATATACGGATTAAGACTTGAAGGAATCAAATTTGTAAGTTTCCGAAATATATTTCTCGTCATCAAATTGCATAATTGCTGAGATCGGCGTTTCGCATTTTTGTGGCACCCGCCAATGAGTTTATTCATTTTGCTTGCAGACAAAATAGCATTCTGTCAGCACTAAGCATTGGATTTATGGCCTCTTATCAAACTGTAAAAGCGTCCGGTCAGAATGAGGACGGTAAATCCGATGACTGGGTAGAGAGAATGCAACGCTTTTTGGTCGTTAAGAACTATCTGGAATATGACAGTTGTTTTCCATCCTTTTGATGTCTTTGTGCTTTTGATTTTGTCATTTGATAAGAGACTTTCCGTTTTGAATCTTCCTTTGAGTTCGGTTGTTTTGTTATTTCACTTTTTGCAACGAATCTATGAGGGGTCGGAAGGTGGCCTGTTGCTAGGCTAAATTTCTATTCCTATCCAATTCAACAAAAATATTCATTAATATGTTCATTTATTCAAAATGTCGTTACTAAAAATCTGCAAGGCAAACAGTCTTAAAAAGTCTAAAAGAGAGACGAAAAATAACATATGATAAACGATCAGGCTCTTGACAAACAGATTGCTTATAATCATTTTGAGCGAGCGATCCTAATTCTAATGCAATTATGGTTCTGATCATAGCCAGAACTTAGTAGTACTTTTGCTAATTAATATTCATAATATGAAAATGAGAATTGGACCACGTGATAATAGTTTGAACTGGACTGGCTTGATATCATTAAAATCTTTAAAACACGGATATTATAAGTTGCCCGTCACAGAGTCCTTGTTTATAATCACTCTGATATTTCCGTAAAGTTGCCAGACGGTCAGAATCAAAACAATGAACGCGAATTTAGTGAATTTTTCGTGTTTTCGTGAGTTTATTCTTTTTGAAATAGGGGCATTTTAACTTTACGTGGGAACCTAGAGTTCAACGACTACACATACAAGGTTTGGACTTGCTTATTTTTTGGACATTCAAGTTTCAAGTTTCATCCCCGCAACCTGTTTTTGTAATGACCTTGTTAGCCAATTTTCAACACGAAGTTTGCAAATTTGACGTTTCAGCCATTTCAGCCTGTATTTTATACTGCAATGTTAAAAGCCTCTTGCTTCGATTTTTAAAATAGCTCAGGAACCTTGATTTTTGCAACGACAGTCATTATGTTTTGTTTAAATGGTGTATTTTGTTGTGTATATTTATTTTCTGTCCCCGCAACCTGTCTATCATTAAAAATTAAAGTTAAAACAGACATTTTTTTTCAAAATTCCCTATCATTTCAATATAATTTCCGTGACCCGTATCCGATTTCTTTAGTATAATATTCAAAAAAACAAAGCGGCGTTGATTTCTGGATATGTTGGATGACCGTAAGCGTAAAATTCTCTATCTCCTCATCTGTTACTAAGGAAGCCGACATTTTAAATTCCGGAATGTATTGACATGTGATTTCTCCAAAAAAACTCACATTGTGCACCTTGAAATCTTCTTTTTATCAAGTTATATTACATTCTGAGGCGGTCAGGAAGCCAGAAAACGCCCGGTGTTTACGTTTGACGCCGGAAGCATACCTTTGACGTCACCTAGTTTAGGGCCAAAGAAGATAACATCAATTCGCGGAATTTTCGTTTAATGAACATTTTACACTGAAATAATGACTTAAATTGAATTATGTATTTATTTTGCATTAGAATAGAGATAACTGTATTTTATTAATTTTTAAGCTTTGACGATGTCCATCGGTAGATTAACTGTCGCAAATATCCGTTTATGTGTCTTTGCTGCGCGTCGCCAGGTAAACTCAATTTGCGATACTAAAACTAAAGATGGACTTCCGCAATGCTTCAAATACAATACAGTTATCATTTAATTCAATCCATAATCTAACACGTTAACAATAATTTATTTACCAATCGGGAGCGGATTTGCCAAATGTTCCACAATGATTTACGACAGTCGTTAATTTGAAAAGTATCGGTTAAGTCAGTGAATCAACTTTTGGTCGCGTCTTTGTTGTGGTCCTTCGTTTTTAAATGATATTAAACAGGCAATCAAGGAGGCTGGAGCTTTATAATTTAATACATATTTTTAACTGTAATTCTATTATTGATGATGTTGCTGACGTTTTGAAAAAAAGATAATATTTAGCAATCTTAAATTATCCAAAGGAGATTGCAACCAATTATTACCACTAAAACCACGTTTTTAGCAGCACATTTGTTTAAACGATTCTAAACAGGTAGTACTTGCGCTCTTGTTTACTTTCAAAATCATGTAAGTAGAATGATTATTATTATTTATTAGAAAATGACAGCAAGATATAAAGCGTCAGATTACTATATGCTTTCATTAAAAAAATTTAAAACCATGTATTTACACACTAGATATCTTGTGGTGCTGATATGCCTCCTGTGTAAACTGCATATATTGTTTTCTTAACAAAATTTTCTCTGACTACATTGCACAACCGTGTTAAAAAAAATATAAAATAAATGAAAATATACACGTCTATAAGGTAAATAATAAAACATGATATATATTCCATACACTTACGTGGTAAAATAGAATTTACTGCATTCTTTGAAATGTTCTCTTCGAGTCTTGCAGATGTGAAATTGTCAGCAGAGTATGAGGAACGAAGACTTTGCAACCTCTATTAAAACAAGTATGGTGTAGTGTTTTCCATTAACATACAATGATTAAAAAAACATATGACACAAAATTGTATGTATAAATATGTATACTTTATATATGCATACATAAAATGTACATTATTGTTTAGGGGCCAGCTGAGGCCCGTCTCCGGGTGCGAGATTTTCTCGCTGAAGACCCATTTGTGGCCTTGTGCTGTTTTCTGCTCTTTGGTGGGGTTGTCGTCTCTTTGCCAAATTCACCGTTTTCATTCTCAATTTTATAATATTAATATCAACAATCTCTACACCTACATGTATCTATGTCGTCTCGAATATAGAAAATCCGATTATTTTCAGGTTTTCTGTGTCATTGGGTTGATACCTTAATGTCGTATTGCCCTAATCTCCCTTACTTCTTGTGGCTTATTTGCGAATTGTTTCCTCTTTTAAAACTACAGAATTATCAATGTTTGTATTCTTCTTATCAAGAACAAAGATATTGATACTTTTGTACGTAGATTTTAACGATTATATGTATACTAATTTTGCATCATCTTGAGTATGACTTTTGCACCCACATATTTGTGTTGAGAAAAATTTTCAGTGTTTTCGTTTACTAGTACTATGCTTGACATTTTTGCAAATATATCATTATTCTAAAAAGCATAAAAAACAACGCAAAACAAAACATAAAGCAAAAAGATTAAACAAAACATTCCACTCACAGTACTTTTACACAGAAACTATTCTGAAGGTTATCTTTTACACAAAATTAAAGCACACAAGATTTTTAGACACGTAGTTTCGGTTGCCATTGAACGGCAGTCAGTAATTAATTTTGCTAATACCAGTCTATCACTGTTTTATTCTCAATTTTTTTTCTGTTCTTTCTTGTCTTTCTATATTTTTGTTAGTGGCAATTGATTATGGTTATTTCAACTGTATATACCTGAAACTCTAATCGGTATGTCTTTTGATTTTGTGGAACTTTGTTATTTTCTTGTTCTTGAACGTAACTACAGAAATCATATACTGGAATAGATGTATCTGGCACGGTAAACAATTCTTGCAATGTTTCAAAGACAGCCTCGTATTGTTCCTACAAATATAAAACTAAAATTTGAAAGCAATAGATATGAGTCCTCAACTAGTATTGTGACGAACAATCATGTAATTGTAAGACACTATGATTTGATAACCAATATTTAAACTGTTAGTATAAACTAGAATTTTGATAAAAACATACAAAGATACCAGACACGAATTTCAAGTACACATGACTTGCCTTTCGTCTACATTAGATTGATCTGTTGCTTTCATAGTTGGAAGGGCAAATCAAAAACCAAGCCGAAAAGCATAACAAATGGAAAATTTCGAAAATGTTGTGCCAAATACGGCTTAGGTAATCTATTACTGGGTAGAAAAATCCTAATGTTTCGACAGATTATGCAGAAAGTAGATTACAGAAAATAAACACATCAATGATATTTCATCTCAACACAAAAGTGCTGACTACTGTGCTACTGATACGATCAGAAACAATACGTATAGCACTACAGGTATCAGAAAAATATCTTCAATCTAACATATTACATATACAGTCAGACAACGGTATTCCCAGCGGTTTGAAATTATTAACGTGAGTTATTACCTTCCAATTGTGCATTTCATAAATTAAATACAACAATCAATCAAAACCCACTGTTTCCCAATGATTCACACGATTAAAACAAACTGATTTATCCATGATTTTGGGGATGTTTTTGTCCCCAAAATCGCTGTTTACGATCAAAACTTTATTACAAATTTCATGGTTTTCATTGATAAGCAATACTTGCATGTGTAGGCATCAACTTTCGTTTCAATATTTCTATCTGTATATAGTAACTTGGACTTTTAATGTAGTTTTTGTAGTGTGTTGTGTTGTTTTAGTATAACAACTTGTGAATTAAATACCTTGTCATTCGTATTTATCATCCATTCATTTATCTTAGGCCGAGGTAGTAAGTTATTGGTCATACATTTCCCGTTTATGCTTACTATATTAGCTTTATTTGATGGATAGTTATTTGGACAGCCGACCATACATTTATTGACTTTTTATATTTCCAAATAGATAATTATTGCATTATTTTTTTCTTTGGCATAAAAGTTTATCCAGTCGTCATAATTGACCGAGTGGTTTCAAATAAAAAAAAATCAGGCATTGTTTCATTATTGATATGTTAAGTTGCTAAAACGGTTAATGAACTAATAAAAATTTAAGTTATGAATGTACTGCAACAACTATGTAATAAATAAAGGATTACGTTGTATTTTAAACTGGAAAGTTTAATTTTTTATTTCTATATTGTATCGTATCTTTACTAAAGATTTAACTATTAAATATCGTATTCAACTTACAAATGTTTGAATCATATTCATTCTGTCCTTCCGCATAATCTTCACATATTCCTTGACATCAATATAACCAACTGATTTTCCATGTTCGTATAAGGAATCTATTGCAATAAATGTACCCGTTCTGCCTATGCCTGCACTAAAAAATCATTTCAGAAACATATTCAATGATTAGAATTGGTTTTTCTACGATTATATTGCAAGTAAACCAACAGTATAACATATATTGTGCGACTTCTTTGGTACCTTTCAAGCTGATTAATTGGCATTAGTATTTCTTTTTTTAACACACTATTCAGCTACGCTTTCTTGTTGGATTCTTCGGAAAAGCAACGGCTGAAAAAATGAAATAATAATAATTATCAAGGATTCGCTATATTTTCTCAGTTCGAAATTTTGTAGCTGTTTTTGAATTTAACTATTAAACATGGCATGTGCTGTTTTAAATATGGTATCAGTTCATGTATGTCCTTTGCATTTGTTTTTTTGATTTTATGTACACAGCAATTACCTCATATAGATATTAAATTACCTGCAGTGTACGAGAAGTGGTCCAGGCTGATCACAGCTCATATTCGTGACTGCTCTATAGAAATTCACCAGCTTTATACTGTCTGGAACACCATGATCAGGCCATTGTGTAAAGTGAAAATGATGAACCTTTCGTTCGTGTTTTTCCTGTAGAAGAAAAAAGCAAATTATTGAAATGCTTGACTGTGAAAGCACTACGTCATTCTATTGTCAACATATGTACTGCACTGACTTTTTGTAGACAGCTTAACTCCTTTAAACGTTAACAGATGATGACAAAAACTACCACTAGGGCTCTGTTTACTGGCATGTTGTCAAAAACCGATCGAAGAATTTGTATACACTTTATGGTACAAAAAAGTGAAAGTAATTTTGATAGAGAGTTCTTGTTTAGTTAACTATGATATAGTGGTTGTAGTAAAGGCGTATATTTAAGCTGGTTTCTCATAGACATACACGATGTTTAACAATTGCCTGCGTATCAGCATTACAAAATTGACACTAATCAAAACAAAGTGTAAATTACCAATTTGTGTCTAACTTTTATCAGCCTGTACATGTATACAGAGTGTTCCTTTTCTACATCCATGGTTAATATAATTTTGTCTACTATCAATGGCTTGTTAGTTGTCTGTGGCCAATACTGGTCACATTTTTTCTGCAAAGGTACAGTAAGATATGTTCATTTAGTGATACTGTTTGTTTTAAATAAAGATAAATCGTTATCATATGACTAAAAAGGCATATGCATGTCGTTAAGACAGCCGTTAGCTCAACAATATAATCCACATTTAGATATATATTCATGGTCTTAAGTTATTGACAATGACAAGTGTCGCTGCCAAACCTAACAAAAACGTTAAGGTAGCATGTGTGTTTCTGACATGTACACGTTTATTAAAATAATATTCAAAGTTTTGGCATCCCAATTGAGGATAGAACAGTACAGATTTTGTTAAAATCAATCACTTACGGCCGAAACGTAATGTCTAGTCCCTCAAACCAATGACTTGTATTTATATTCAGGAAAACAGTCATTTTTCTCAAACTTCGTTCTCAAGAAATGTCTGCGTAAGGTCAATAAATGATTCCATTCAAAGAGTCGATACCAAAACAACGAAAGTTTCCAGATTTTGGTTAGAACTAATTTGTTATTCATAACAGTAATTAGTTGTTCAATGTAAGCAATTTTCAGGTTTGCCAGGCAGCAATTCCCTGTTTGACAATACTTTCATATTGTTTTGTTTTTTCTCACTGATCATGGAAGTAAAGTCAAAACCTTAACGCGGCAAACTTTGATCTACATTGCGTGCTACTCCATTTTTACTACTTCAAAATTATCTAAAATTAACAAGAAAGTAAAATTTTGTTTTTAATCCTCTGAATGGACTTTAAAACTCAAATATTCAACATTTTAATGATGTCATATACTTTTCCTTCTTCCTCCAGTTGGGTGACCATCACTATTTTGCCAACATTTTCCTGCCATATCATATGCCAGAAATCTCTCACTGTATTTTTTTTTGGACCTGAAATCATAAAATAAACAAGCGAAATAGACCATGAAGGACATTTGCACCAGTCGTTCAATGTGTATTCTGTTTTCTTTTTAAACATTATCAATATGCATGATATGACTGGACAAGGTTTGTAAGTTATTCTCTATTCGTGTATTGTTAACTGAACAACATACATAAACAGCCATCATCTGAAACTGTTTAAGACTCGCTGGCAGAATAACTGTACATTCTTAATTCGGTGTAAGCATGCATCAATTTGGTCTGCATCTAAAACTGTTTAGCATGGAATGGCAAATTGCTCTGCATGCAATAAAAAACATCCCTGTTGATGTTTTTTTCTAATTCTATATATGCATACAGTCACATGACAAACTAACCTCTAAATAAGAATAATCCAAATGTGAAATATGAAGTATGTATCCGAACTTTCAGCTTCTCGAATTAAAAGTCATTAACTGATAAAAGAAAACAATTTAGATTTACAATGTAGTTTACTGAAAAGCAATTTTACTGATTTTGAAAACTAGTATTGCAACATCTTGTTTAACACACTAGGATACATTCTTTTCACTCAGATTTTGGTGAGTAAAGGGAAAGAACCATTTTCAGAAAATGAATTCGGGTAATGGTAAATGTCATCTACATGTATGGTCATGTGATTATGATATATAATATTATAACAGACATAGAAAGAGAGTGTGTAATGACTCTTGTAGCAGATTAATTTTTTAAGCTTGATTTCATCTATTGCCATTATTCTCGGTTATACTTTTTATATTGTTTTGGAATTTAATTTGATTTTCTGGTTGCTTTGATTCGAACGCCATTGGTGTGTGCGTTTAGTAGGTTTTACAAACTTTTTGTTTTTGTTTTGTTTTCTGTATACTATTTTGACACTGTTCGTAATGACAAAAGGGATTGATACGAAAAGTAACGACTGTAATTCATATGAAATTAGGCAGTACAATTCATACCACGGCTTTGCGTCATTGCAAAAACTATAACAAATACATTTCAGCCATTTACTGGCTCAATTAACGTTCCATTTATGAGAATGATTGCAATTTATCAAATAGAAAATATAACTACAATTTTGAGAACGTGATTTGAATCAATTTATGATTATTATAATGACTATAAAAAAACAAGAATGTGTCCATAGTACACAGATGCCCCACTCGCACTATCATTTTCTAAAACAAATCATATCATAGGGAACATATGTACTAAGTTTCAAGTTGATTGGACTTCAACTTCATCAAAAATTACCTTGACCAAAAACTTTAACTTAAAACTTTAAACTGAAGCGGGACAGACGGACGGACGAACGAACGAACGAACGGACGAACGGACGGACGTCCGAACGGACGCACAGACCGAAAAACATAATGCCCCTAGGTGGGGCATAACAATTGTGATAATACTAGTCTGAAACAAAGTACAACAAAAACTGGTATCTTCCTTTATACATGTTATATGAGATAAAACCATTTTTTTTTGTTAATTTGATATACAAACCTTGTGTGGCAATGTACGCCTTTTCTTTATTATAGCTCTGCAATTTAGATATATTTAAATCTGTTATTGTTTCATACAGATTATTTTTAAAAAGGTAACGCTTCATATCTAATCATTTTAAGAAGGTAACGCTTCGTGACTAATTAGTTTTAAAAAGGTAACGCTTAATAAATGATTATTTAGAAAAGGTAAATATTATCATAACATAAATAATCAACATTGACAAGTCATAACATTGACAGATAAATATTACTGAACCTACAAGTCATAACATTGACAGATAAATATCACTGAACCTAAAGTACCATGATTGCTAATTTCCATATATTAGGCTTTTGGCCTATTTGTTTGGGGGGATTGGGGGTGGCCCGAGGGGTAAACTTACCCAAAGCAATTGATGATAGTTTATATGAACTTCCTCTAGATACAAAAATTAATATGAACTTTACTCGGTTACAGACATGCATGATATGTTTTTTTTTTTTTTTTTATTTCATTTTTGGTCTTTAATACTGTTATTTTTAATTATTTTTTATTTGTTATTGATTTTAAACTATTTAATATATATGTTTTATAAATTCAAAGGTATGTTACATGCACTTTATGTTATAACATCTACATTGTTATTCCAACCTGTATATATAGATACAATTAGGAACTTACGTCGATGTAATTTGCATTTATGTAATCCGATTTTGTATCTCCTTTCAAAACTACTCTGGAGTGGTCATCTGTAATGAAATCATGGTTTGTCGTTATGTTGATACACATTTATTTTCTAGCATAAATTATATATATTTTGTGTATGGGACCAACAATACTAATTCAATCTAAAACACAAATTATTAATTCATAATGATATGTATCAATAGAGTGTAGATGTCAAAGTTCGACCGTTAAAGCTTTCTCAAGTCTTTTTCATTTTTCCATGGTAACTGTTATTTAAAACCATGGATATGATTTCCAAGTACACAAATGAATAAACTACTATAAATTTGAACATGGTATTTTCCTACATAAATCTTCGTAATTAATATTTTTCACTTACATGGCCATGTCGACAAAAATCTATTTTTAGCTTTATTTTCTTCTTTTGATCCCTCAACATGAGCATGAATTAGACCTTTTGGGAACATCTGTAAAATATATTATACCCCGTTTTACTTATTAATCAAGTATATGCCAGTTTAAATGTCCCATTCTGTACATTTTAATTATATTCTAGAGCTTAACATCAATTCAATTCAATTCAATAATCGTCAAATGGTTAGGTAGGAATTAGTTATTCATTAAATTTAATAATACTATGCTGAAAAAGGTTTTATGATAAATAATACAATTAATTATCTAATTACTAACACAATTTTATATTAATAAGTATTATAATTTTCATTGTTATTAAATAATGTAATATCAGTATCACAAACCTAATCTTGAACTCTATCCTATTTTTTGGAAATTTTTAGAAATTTACCTGTGACGTCACTTTTGTGCGTCGATCTATTCGGCTGACATACATTGGGTTGTTCTGTTGTGCTGTTTTTTATGTGCTGATCTAGGTTGTTTTACGTATTCGTTTTTATTCTGTAGTTAGTCACCACTTCGGTGTTAACATGTATATCAATTATATGGTCATTTTTATATTTTATAAATTTACTGTTTTTTCTTAATATGTTCTGTACCAAGTCAGAAAAATGGCTATTGTTATCTTATAGTTCGTTTCTGTGTGTGTTGCATTTTAGTGTTTCCGTTGTGTCTTTGTTCTATTATATTGATGTGTTTCCCTCAGATTTAGTTTGTAACCCGGATTTGTTTTTTCTCAATCGATTTATGAATTTCGAACAGCGGTATACTACTGTTGCCTTTATTTAATGATGTGTATAATGTATAACTGCGTTGTCTTGATAGGTTTAAACGAGTACTCATAACTCTAAATCCGACTGTCTCTTTTGGGGAGATTGAGATACGTTATATTCTAAGAAGCTCTCTGAGATATCTTAAAAGTATCAGTAGGTAAATTTTCCCCTACGAATATTCATATATTTTAAGCAGTTATCACAGTCGATCCTATTTAAAAATAAACCATAAGGTCTTGTGCTTGGGATACTTGTCGATACTCGATCACGTATTGTATATTATGACTATTTAAATGCGTCATATATTTATTTGGAGGACGTCATTCGAAGTATACCAAGTCATCCTATAAATCTCCTTAAATTCGAAGTATACTAAGATATACTAAAAATGTCCGTAAATTCACAATATTGCAGCAACCATTTTGGAGGCGACAACTAATAAGTATCAAACTAGTATGATTTTTTGAGGATGATGCGGCTTAGTGTAAATCAAAGATAATGTATCTCAAACAAAATAAAAAGAAACTAGTATAATACCAGAACATTACATTTCGCTATAAAGATTAGATATTTTCACTCACACATTCCAAAAGTGTAGTTCTTTAATTTTGGCATATATGCAATTGAACTCGAATTAAAAGGATAAAACAAAACCAGTTCCCTTTAATACCTCGACTTTTACCAGAAATACGACAGGGAGGCTCCCCAAGAACAAAGGATTGCATTGAAACTTCCATACGTGAATATGAATAAAATTATGTGGGATATATCTCGAAAGACATCAATCCGACGACCACAATCATCAAAATACATTTTGAGGTTAACACAAGTTCAACACAAGCATGTTTTTAGACAATATGTCAAGCTCTAAATCGTCTCAAAGTTCATAAACTGTTGTAAAGGCAAATTACAGAAACTACGAACGATCTGCCATCAATCCCAAATTCTTAAAAAAAACTGGGAACATTACTAGTACTGATATGTAGGATAATTTAATCACCACCTACTATATATGTCTCCCTGAATATATAGTCCTCCCTTCCTAGAGAGTTGTGTTTACAAGGAAACATATTTCTAAACATAATAAGTTATGTCACCTTGTAAAACATTTTATTGACGCCAATAAGATTTGGCTGACTTTATGTTATGGAATACAGGTGTCATAAATAACAACGAATAATATATCAGTTTCAGTATTTGTCACCGTAGTCCCTCAACTTAAGTTACTCGTTTAAGACTTAAGATATATCATAGCTAAAAAAAGCACCTAATTTTAATTTTTAATATAATAAGGCCGGTTGAAAGTTGACCAGGAACTCCTTCCATTCTAAACATATGATTGTTGATGGTTAAATTAAGGTCGTCTAGCTTCATTTAATTAATTTAAAATCAGATATATCAAAACGTTTCATACTTTATGACTTACCAACAAAATGATACAAATCAACAGAACTTTAATTGTCCTGAAACAAAGCGATGGGTGGCACATACTTACCTTTCCGGGCCTATGTTTGTATCTCCAATAAAGGAGTTTGTTCGTTTCATTTGCATGCTTTTTGTGTTATATCGCTGGTTGTGACAATTATATATAAACCAGGTATATCCTGTTATAATGAATACCCACCCATGTCGTCTTAACTACTTACACGATGTCCCTTTAATAGGGAAGTGGGAGTAATCAATGGGAGAATAAAATTCACAAGACAAAGGAGACCGACAAGATAATTGCAAAGAACAAACGATAAATATTAGCTTACAATACACAAAAGCAGAACAAAAGACTGAGCAACACGATATATCAATGCAAATTCTGAGCTGGGTATTAAATTTGCAAAAAAATCATTTTGGCCTAAATGTACGTATATGTGTATTAAGACACACGTTGTGTACACGTTATCATTTTGTACAAATTATAATTCGTCCAAAAAACTTGTACAAATTATAACTTGTGTTTGGATTTTGTACAAATTATAATTTATCCAAAAAGTGCTGGTACAAATTACAATTTGTACAAAGTTTAATATTGACTAATGGAGTCGTGAATTCAACAAGAGAACATGTGTTCTACCAACCCCATATTCATTTTCAAAGCCATTGTCTTTACGCTTTTCATTTATCACGTTTGACAGGTCCTCAATTTGAATTTTGTACTGACATATATCATCTTCCGAAATAACATTGCCATATACATTGACATTCCCCTCTTCCTCTTCATCTGGCAAATCATTAGAACTTATATCAAATGTTTGGATTTTTCCATCGTGCTTTTCTTCAAACGATAGTCGTATATTTTCTGAACTTGTAAAGTCGCCTTTCACGTTTTCATACATTACACTTTGATCAGTTGTAGCTGAACGAGTCTTTGTATCTGAAAATTGAGAAACAATATAGGAAGAAGTTTGTTTAGAGACACATTTCTTCAATCAATGAATGAAAAAGATTCTTTATAATTACATCCAAACAATGTTATGTTATTTGTTCGCAGGTATTGTATTTTCGTTTAACGTCGCCGCATTCACTAATCTAATTTTTTTAAGCTTTGTAGCTCACAAATTTGTATTTACTTTTCTATGAAACAAATTATAGACTATATGTTTACTGCTTAATCATATATGTTCATAGGTATGCGAGTTGCGTACGTTCTCTAGTTTCTGTGCAAATTCATATATACCATACTGCTTATTTCCTTTTTTTTGGAAGAGAATAATGGTAAGAAAGCATAAATTCAGCTTGAAAACTTGTGTGTACTTCATTTTTTGTGCATTCGTGAATAATTCATTCCTTTAAAAAAATCAAATAGATCTAAGAAATAACAGATTAAGAAGGACGAGGTTTGTGACTTATTTCATTACATTGTTAATGTAAAAATTTATATTTTTACTGCAGCTATATGCAACTATTGTCTGGCAAGTTTTTTAGGGGTATACGAATTCGGATCTAAAACGAGTTCGGATCTAAAACGATCAAACTAATTTTTCATGTTACATAAAAGGCAGATCGGCCATATGCTTACTTCATTTACTGACTTGTTTCGTTTGGGTAGACTTAGTAGTGTAACAGCGTTATAATACTGACAAATGCGGGTTTTTTAAGACACACATAATTATTTTTCATTAAGTAAACGTGCGTAAAATATATTTCGATATTTATCTTTAAGATATGCATGTTTCAAGGAAGCAAACGCATGATCTGTAAAGTCTGAGGAATTTTATCCCATAATAGTATATAAAAATTGTACCTTGCACAAAGAAAATTGTTTGAATGATAATCAAATAACTTAACCTCCAACCTTTCAAATATGAACTTTTTGTTTGATTGATAAATCTAAAATAACATGAACTCGTCGAATGTCCCATGTGAAGGTCAAATAAATTACCATACACGTGTTTTTAGGAAGAATTGTTATGTAACCAGATTTCTACTAACAACTTTTGGATTTAAATGATATAAATTTATATCAAAGGCTATTTGACAGAATATGAGATTTCCTAAAAAGGTGATGGTCTTAAAAGATACATTTGTTGGCCCCTGAAATTGTAAAAATACTTAAATTATTCAAGCCTTACTAAACATTGTATTTTTTTATAAATGAATATGACAATTCAGTGAAGAAAGGTCGTTGAGGATTCCATGAACATGTAGAAATTGACATATTTGGCCTAAAAATCGAAATTTTGCCCATATTCTGGAAAACCAAATAGATATGAATTTTTGAATAACTGGTCAATTATTCAGTAAGGGATTTCGTGAACAAAAATTTAAGAAGACCTTAACCAAGTTCTTTCATCAGTTCATAGATACTAAGATTTGGTTTGGAAATTTTGCTGTACCTTAGTTTGGTTTTATGGTGTGCTGTTACACCATTGTTCAAGGTTTGGGAGGTGAACATTCTGTATGTGCCTGTCTCAAGTCAAGAGCCTGTAGTTCAGTGGTTGTCGTTGATTCATATCTGTCATATTTGTTTTTCGTAAATTGTTTTGTTATAAATTAAGCTGGTAGTTTTCTCGTTAATTTGTTTCACAGTTTTCATGTCGGGCCTTTCATAGCCAACTATATTGTATGGGTTCTTTTCTCATTGTTGAAGACCGTACGGTGACCTGTAATTGATAACATCCACTTCATTTGATCTCTGATGGATAGCTGTCTCATATGTCATTATACCACATCTCCTTGTTTTCATAATGAGCAAAAGCCTCACCCGAAAAAATCATTTAGTCACATGATCACATCCACATCTTCCGTCTTATGTTTTTATTTAGTTTTTTGTGGACTTGTTTGTCTCTTCGCCAGCTTCGTTTTTGCCACTCTTCCACTTAATCTTGGTTTTTAAATGACCCCTTAGTCTATTTCATCAATCATATATTAATGACACGATCTTATGATGTGGCTTTTTGTCATTTTGCACACAATGCAATAATGATGAAGCTCTACTGCATAAATAGAAATTGCTGTTTGACATGCTGATGCATTACATGTATGAAGAGCTGACGATTGTCATAATGCAATCGGTTGAATAATAATAAATTTGATTACAGAACTTAAAGGACCAAACAGTGGTCTTATCATACATTTTCATCTCAACCATTGGGTATTAAGTACAAGAAAATATTCTATCTTATCTAGATTATATCGATGAAAGACATCAAAAAGATAAAAAAAAAATAGGTACTCACTTTCTCTCATAGTTGGATGATTTCTGTGTTTTTGCAATCTAAAGAACCGTCTGTAATATACAAAAGAAAATTGATTTTAATTTCTTGTATAGGCATCAAATAGCATTGATGCACTAATTTTCTGTTAATTCAATGTTCACAAAATGTGAAAATCATTCGAAACATTAAGACTGTTCTACAGCGGTATACTACTGTTGCCTTTTTCTATCCTTATGAAAAGTTGCCCATTGGCTTTTTTTTTTTACTTTTGGGAATTTTGTCTTTCAAAGCTAAAACACGTCACAATGAATGGAAAAGAAACGCGTGTCAGTCATACTAAATTATAAGACTGATCACTTTAATGACTTTTTGTATAATCATGTATAATGTTTACATAAAAATACAGTGATACCTTGATTATGTGCGAACAATAAAAATAAATGGATAAAATGGCAGAGTAGTATGGGCAAAAATATGGGGATTTTAATTTAGAGATGCTCTGACATAATAAGTGTATGCTCCCATGTTTCCGTGAATCCCCCTTTAAAATATATGTATTGTCTATCAATTATGAGAATATTATTTTTAGAGGAAAACTACTGAAACTAATAAGTACCTGTAAACGATAAAACATATAATTGCAAGAATCACCACAAATATTGCAGCACAAATTCCTCCTATAACGATTGTAACAGGTCCTTGTTCTTCTAACGGCTGAAAGTCTATAAATATAACAGTACGTAAATAACGAATTATATTGTCTCAGGATTTCGTTTGCCAACTAATTTAATAATTCTTTCAAAACTAATTTCAATGTTAATAATAATGCTGATTTATACTAAAAAAAATACTGATTTGTACTTACAAATTATTTACAAAACAAGTATACAATAAATACGCATATATCAACTATTTTAACATCATCTCTGTAATTACCGGCTTGCTTGCAATGTGGACCACTTAACTTCTCAATACAACCATAAGTACAATTGCCTTCATATATTTCACATGACGTGTTAAAGCAGTTGTTACAGTAACCGATACAATTGTACCCGTAATATCCTTCGCTGCATTCTGAAATAAACATAAACAGAAGAATATGTTTTAAATTAACTGAGTAGTACATGTGAACAGAAATTCATATATTTAACCCAAATTCTTTTTTGGAATGAATCAAATCATTTAAAGTCTCCTTCAAAGACTTTTCACTTCCATACATAATTCATGATAATATATAAATGATTTTGTTCATTCCAACACATACATAGCAGCAATATAGGAATGTCAAAGATGTTAATGTTAACGCTACGGTCACAGAATAACCGCGCTCTTTCGATTATAGTTACAGCCTCATTTCCTTTAATACATTTATGATTCCTACGTACTGTTTGCAATGCGTGTTGTAAATTGTGTATCAACAAATTACAGGTTGACCTTACTAGTTTCAAAATATATACGAAGTTTTGAAAGCACTAAAACACAAAGAAGTATTATACTGTCTTTGACAAACCTTTATTACAAGATTCACCAAACCATCCTTTGTCACATTTCCCGTCAGGACACAATCCAGTAGATTTATTACAAGGCTCAGAGAGGCAGTTGCATTTTTTGGCACAGTTTTCACCATAGAACCAGTAATCACATGCTGGAAGTTATATAGAACGTATTGGAGTTTAAACACATTTTGTATCTATTGTTAAATTGATCTTTTTGTTAAAATATTGAATGTTTTATTAATACTAGGTAATATAAGAGCTACAATATGAATAAGAATATATATTTAAATGTCAAAAAGTACAGAAATGCTGACATGGCACAGGGATTACACTTGTGTACATTGCACAGCTTGTTCTTTAATCTTAACAACAGGTGGACAAACTAAGAAATGGCCATACACAGTTTTGTTTCTATTGTTAATTCATTATTGATTTCAAAACAAAAACAAAACATAAAAATTTACTTTTGATAGTACTTACGGCAAACACATGTATTTTTTATATTTATGAAATACATCAATCTAGAGAACACACTATAAATACTAGCTACTAGCTATAGCAATTAATAAATTAAATGAGTAATAACCAAACAAATTAACATTTCATTGTATTGTCGCAAAATAACGTTTCGAATCTTGGTTTTTTCCAAGTTAAAACGCATATCTAAGATAGTAGTAGCTTTTTTTTCACATTTTGTTCGCACAGCACCCTTTTGCTTAAAATATATATACAATTTTTGAAATCCAAATATTAAACATGGCTTTATACCTTCAGCTATCATCGTACATCAACTTTGCTATACGGAAATGAAACCTTGATTCAAACATTCAAACTGAAAATTGCTGAGCAGAAAATACTCTCGTGGAAGAATAATGATCACCATTACGTTGTTTATAAATATTGATATCAGTTCAAATATTCCCTAACCTTCAGTCTAGAAATACCACAATTGGTCTCTTGCGTTTAAATAGAAGATAAACAATTATGAAAAAAAAATTACAATTATCTTAAACATTCCATCAAATATTTATGAAACTTGAAATTGTTTTTGGAACAGAAGACTTATTTTAAAATACATACATTGATTACATTTAGGGTGGTTTATATACCCTGGTTTACATTTGTCCCCGACATTGCAGAAGCCGTCAAAACGGTCACAATTGTTCGATATGCATCCATCACATGACTGTGAGCAATTTCTTCCAAAATATCCATGACTGCATTCTAAAATGTCAATGCATAATTGTTTGAACATTTCAATTCAAAATTATAATTGATGATGATGATGATGATGATGATGATGATGATGATGATGATGATGATGATGATGATGATGATGATGATGATGATGATGATGATGATGATGATGATGATGATGATGATGATGATGACGACGATGACGATGACGAAATATAAAATCATAATTATTGATGATGACAATGACGATGACGACGATGACGATGGTGACGATGACGATGAAGACGATGATGTTGTCGATGACGATGATGACGACGACGATGATGACGATAATGACGATGATGACGATGATGATGATGACGATGATGGTGATGATGATGATGATGCATGTTTAGTTAATCCAAAGCATTATGTTGGTTGAATAATACATACATATATGAACATAAAGTTATGACTTCTAATGATAGGAATTAAATAATGGATATAAAATTATGATTTTACTGTGATGTCTAACGTTTTATATTTTTTTTGTTAAAACATGTCTCGATTAAATATGAGGATGTTGCTTCCAGACATCCATGATGTGTGGACCACTCTGTTATACCTACAATACAACAATACGTATCTTACCATCAAAGCAGTTATTATCTTTCCATCCTTTTTGACATCCTTCATTACATTCTCCTGTCACATGGTAACAAGGAGGCAAAAAACAGTGCGATGAACATGCGTGCATACATTGTTTTCCAAACCAACCTTCATAACAGGCTAAAACAAAATTAATTAATGATAGGCACCCAAATTACTCGTAAACTGACTACAAAAATTCCTTCCGCTATCTTTTTTTTTTCGAAAACTAACAATGAAGTGTGTTCTTAAAAGACTAAACGAGTTTTTTGGCGAGTAACATCAGATTGTTTTTATTATCAAACCCATTTAACATTTCCTATTTTTTATATGTTGTCTTTATATCAGTTATTTTTATAAAGTAAATGATTAAAACATTCCTAAAATTAGGTGTATAGCTCAAGTATTTGTTGTCTGATCCATATAATATGCTTACGTTCGTTGCACCTTTCACCAATCCAGCCATCAACACAACCATGTGTGCAGTTTCCATTAACTAAATTACAAGATCCTAATATGCAGTTTTCTAAACAGTTCATTTCACAGTTCACTCCATATTTTCCAAAAGGACAACCTACATAAGAAATTTGAAAAAAGCACTTGTTATAATGAGAATTTTAGTAATTTAGAAGTAGACACACTTCTCTGATCTAACAATACATTAAATGATAACAACAATAAATGCTCTGAACTGCTGAATACAATTAAGTATGAACTGATCAAGAATGCAGTTAATACTAAACTAAGATAGGGAACTACCATTTAACTTGAAAGAAGAGAAGGGGGTTCTTGTATTTGGTTTTAATCCTGAATATATTGGTTGTACCATCAACATAATCAAATAATGTATTTGTTATTTTAGCGCGATATGTGAATATATTTTAAGAACTTTAGATTCAATGAACAAATCTGGATTAGACATGTGTTTTTCTTTCTCCCTGAATAAAATATTTGTTCTTCAAATTTTTAACCAGCATATAACCATAACCCACACTCACCCTTGAGGTTTTTGTACTGTTGTTAGTTTCTTCTCTTGCATTCTATTCATAGCTATTGACCATTATGATTTATATCTTTTGACATTTTAAAAAGCCTTTGATATTTTATTCCTTTTATAGGTCTCCTAAAATTATTAACGCTAAGAATGCATTTTTATCAGGCAAAATTTTACTTATAGTTACTTTTTTTAAGCTTAGTGTTGGTAGTGTAGTCTCAATGTTTACCGCAATTATGGCTACCCAACTAAGCGTTTGAACAGTCAAATTACCTAGGATTAATAAAGATATATGACAAGTACTTACCACCAATTTCTATTTCACACAAATCGACTTCGGAATTTCCACTTATAGTAGGTGGTACATAGATAACATATCTGCATACAGCAGATACGTGAATATCTTCCGTCGGACGAAGGCCGTGGTATAATACTTTCGCGTCTGTCCAGTCGTCACTTGTGTTTGTACAATATACTGAATAAGTGCCAGCATTCAATTGTGCAGACCCTGTGTTCATAAAGTAAATACATATCAATTAAATGTAGTTTATTCTCAAATATCAAATAAACTTTAACATGTAATTCACAAGACCACTTAGGTCGTTTTGGACAAATACATACAGCCATTTAGGAAAAGAAATAAACGTTTTTGATATATATACATATATATATACCTATACCTGTATTATATTTTCCTTCGGGTTTATATGATCCGTTCATCCTATGTCGACTTTTTCAAAGTTCAAGAGTCTATCCTAAATTGAGGTAAATTATATGGCCTTCCAAATACCGTTTCGATTCCTAACATCACTGAAGAGACATTAATTGTCGAAATCCGGATATGGTGTACAAATTTTTGCACCTCATGTTCGCGGTATACCATCTTTTCCGAAAGTTTATTGGTTTCTGTTTGGTAATAAATTAATAATAAGATCTATTTTGTTACACCTTGTGATCCGTTTATTTGGCAATCGCCAATGGTAGTCAGCAGGGTTTAAGAACATCAGTTGTTCGACCTGCTAGTCAAATGCGTTTTGTTAAATTTACCTTTTCACTCATTTGGTCTTTTGGAAAAATGTTGTTTGTGCTGTATTTAGACCCCTCTACCAAGAAATTTGTTTTGCATGCACACGTATAAAAATTGCGGTTTTTATCCAACGCAATCATAGGTTTGAACGTTGTTTTCAATTTAGACTTGTTCATATTTTTTCGTTTGGGGATGTATTATATTTGCCTTCGGGTTTATATGATCCGTTCATCCTATTTTGACTCTTTCAAAATTCAAGAGTCTATCCTAAGTTGAGGTAAATTATATGGCCTTCCAAATACCGTTTCGATTCCTAACATCACTGAAGAGACATTAATTGTCGAAATCCGGATATGGTGTACAAATTTTTGCACCTCATGTTTGCGGTATACTATCTTTTCCGCAAGTTTATTGGTTTCTGTTTGGTAACAAATTAATAATAAGATCTATTTTGTTACACCTTGTGATCCGTTTATTTGGCAATCGCCAATGGCAGTCAGCAGGGTTTAAGAACATCAGTTGTTCGACCTGCTAGTCAAATGCGTTTTGTTAAAATATACCTTTTCACTCATTTGGTTTTTTTGGAAAATGTTGTTTGTGCTGTATTTAGACCCTTCTACCAAGAAATTTGTTTTGCATGCACACGTATAAAAATTGCGGTTTTTATCCAACGCAATCAAAGGTTTGAACGTTGTTTTCAATTTAGACTTGTTTATATATATATATATTTACAGCCAAAGATGTATAAGGACCGAAACAGTTGAAGAGCTATCTGACGAAAAAGGACCTAGAAATTATAGAAATATTTATTTTCGGTCGACTTTGAATAAGGGCGTTTAAACCGTTTAAATAATTTATAATTTATAAACCGACAAATCGTTATTTGAAAAAATATCAATAAAAGGATACTTTTTCACATGTACTGGTTGTTGAATTTGGTAATATTTCTAAATTAAGAGATTACCAATAATTCAGTTTGTTTCCTTACCATCGTATATATGTGTCACCAACGAGTTGAGATAGGTCTAACGCAACGTGTGTCATTAGTGGAGCGAGAACTGTTGATCCTTCCAGAAAACTTTATTTTAACCCGGATCTTCGTGGGGTTGAGTTGCTCAATCTTTCTGTTTTTGTGACTTTTGTTTTACGGTCTAGTTTGTACGTTTTTTTTTTTTTTTTGTGCCTTTTTAAATATATCCAAAGATGCATTACGTCACCAGTGTCTGGCCAGAAAGTTGATGAATCAGGGTTATGTCAAAGAACGTCTTTAATTTTTCTAATAAAAATCATCGTAAGATACCAAGACCTAGTTGATAAATATTTCGTATCAACTTCACAAAAAATAAATGATCGTCTTGAAGTATAGATACTAGGTGCTGACGTTGTTTATCATCTTAATAACGTGTTATAGTTTTCTTTTATTTGTCTTTGTAAATTATTAACCTTTCCTGCCTAGTTCATGTTTGGTAATATCTTGTTATCGTGACTGGGGACTTATGCATCCCACCAATGTGTTCGTGTGATGTGGTCATTTTTTTGTTGTATTCTTGTCATTCAGTTTTGCTTAAGTGCTTTGTCTATTTGCCATTTTGGTTTTCTTTGTTGACATATTTGTTTCTTTTTATAGTGATTAAGATTATAACACAATATTGACTGCTGTACCTCTATTTTACACATTTGTACCTATTATGTCTGTTTGTTTTGTTTGTTGTCAATATAATGGAATTTTATGCGACTGTCATACCAGTGAGAGGTTTAGCTAGCTATGAACCAGGTTTAATCCATCATTTTCTACATAAGGAAATGCATGTACCTAGTCAGGAATATGACAGTTGCTTTCCATTCGTTTGATGTGTTTGCACTTTTGATTTTGCCATTTGATAAGGGACTTTCCGATTTGAATTTTCCTTGGAGTTCGGTCTTTTGTTATTTTACGGTTTACATGTTTTCTAAAGTAAATCATAAATATGAGAAAAAAACTGTTACTCACCATTTAAAGTCATATAAATCATGGTTATGATACTCGTAAACCCAGTGTCAACCTGGAGATATGAGTTAGGTCCAGATGTCCTTGAACAACTACCCGTCCGTTTTCCATCGATGGACAGATATGCTGGATGACTTTTGCTCGGAGGATTTTCAATCGCCGTTCCATTAGAAGCAATATTGTCTGTTAAGCGTATGTGAATAATGATTAATAATGATTGAGCTTTATTTCAAATTTTTATTTTTAAGCATTCACGCAATATCTGAATTATTTGATTTTCCTTATTTCTTATAGTCGCTTTTACTTTTGACAACAACATGCTAATACATTAAACCTAACAATGTATTAGACCGAAATAATGGAAACAGTCCATTAAGAAGAAATGACACTCTACCTGGTCACATTATTCGAAATCTGAGTTGACCAGTGTTTGCTCTTGCTCTTCAATGCCACCGGGCTTACTGGCAAAACATTTAAATAGCAATTTTAATTTGTTTGGTTTAGTCAAGACGGGGATCGAACCCATGAACTTAAGTGTTATGTGTTCTTTTCTGGAAACATTAACTACTTTAAATACTAAAACTGATAATTCTACATTGAAAATAAAGTTTTTGAAAATCCTTTGCGAATAAGAGAAAAAAAACTTCCCTGACCCTAAATCACATCTCATTTAAACTGCTGTAACAGAATTACGTGGTAGAATGACTGGAGTCGACACTATATACGATTTATGGTCACCATCACAAATTGATTGACCGATACGATGAGTCTCAAATCACTATCGACATGTTTTCGCGGTCTTATATCTTTTAAAACCAGTAATGGCTGATATTTTTGTTCGAGCATATTGTTTTTCTTTAATTGTTTAACATTTCATATCGATATAACATGTTACTTTTATTATTCTTCCCTTAGTTTATTTATTTTGTATTTACATTGTATCATAGGTCAAATTTATTTGTTCAGTGTATGTTCAATGGTGTTAATATGTCTTTTGATTGAGTTAAGCTATTTCAGTTGATATTTTATAGTGTGTCTTTCTATGTTGTGATGTAACACTATTGTTTCAGAAAAAGGGTGAAGGTTTGGTACTATTAAAACGTTTAAACCCGCTGCATTTGTTTGCACCTGTCCTAAGTCAGGAATCTGATGTTCAGTAGTTGTCGTTTGTTGATGTGGTACATAAGTGTTTCTCGTTTCTCGTTTTTTATAGATTAGACCGTTGGTTTTCCCGTTTGAATGGTTTTACACTAGTAATTTTTGGGGCCCTTTATAGCTTACTGTTCGGTGTGAGCCAAGGCTCCGTGTTGAAGACCGTACTGTGACCTATAATGGTTTACTTTTATAAACTGTGACTTGGATGGAGAGTTGTCTCATTGGCATTCATACCACATCTTCTTATATCTATAGTCTTCTAATCTGTAATTGCCCCAATTATGTCTTATTTCGGCCAGTTGTCAAATTTTAAATGAGTTTCAATTCTCATGGTGGGTAATGCATACATAGCAAGAGAAGCTCGCCCTGTCGACTGAACCGGTCTTGCTTCTTTTAGAGTTAATGGGATTCTCATAGTTTCTATTTGCCAACCTTGATTAGTCTCTTTTTAACCGATTGACCAGCGGTAAACTACTTTTCGCCTTAATCTTAATAGTACTGAAATGCACCAGGAATGATAATTTAATTCGTATGTTTATTTTCGAACTTCGTATTGTCGATGTTGTAAACTGTTGAAGTTTATGTAGTAATTAATTAGGTCATGAATGTTTGAAGAATAAATATTTTTTGTTATGTTCGTTTGCATTATTCAGTTTGTCAAGGAATTCACGTTGTAAGTCTCAACTCGGTCTTGTTTTCATATTAAAACGTTGTAGTGGGTATCTTCTTAGAGTTTGACTGTGTCTATTCTTGTTTTTAATAAGGTATATGATGTTGGCAATGTGTTTATGTTTTATATGTTATTTTGCTGAGTCATTATATTTGTCTAGTTACCACACGCCTGCATAAGAAATTGTACTATTTAGGACGTCTTTACCCTAAAGTGTTTTTGTGATGATGTTGTTTTAGTAGTGGTTCGTGCTGATCTGATGACTCAAGTCCTTTCCCACCGAAATTGAATGTTTGTTTTTATGTTGTTCTGTTAAATCGTTGTCATGGGTTAAAGAGTGTATTGAACGCTAACAAACATGTTTAACTCTGTCACATTTGTTATGCTTGTCCCATTTGAGGTGCCTGTAATAAAGTGTATGTCGTTGCTTGTTGTCAACGATATTTGTTTTTCGTATATTGTAATAAGCATGCAGCAGGCCATTTGTTTTCTCTTATGAATCCTTTCACTTTTTCCAGGGCCTTTCATATCCTACTAAACGGTATTGATTTTGGGCGTACGGTTACCTATAGTTGTATACATTGGTCTGTGGTGGATAGTTGTCCCGTTTGCAAACATTCTACATTTTTGTTATATATATATTTATTGATATAAATCCGAATCGGATAACTGAAAGGGTACCCGGAATTATATTTTTTTTTTATTTCCTTAGATATTCAAGACTAACTGATAAAAACTGATAATAACAAAGTAAAGTGTGCATGGTATCTTCAAGACACAAAGTCATACTGATCAAATGTAATGCTGTATTTGACAAATAGATATAGGTCGGATTGTTGTCTCTTTGACACATTCCCCATTTCCATTCTCAATTTTATAGGTTTCCCCATTTAGTCATGTTAGTGTGACAAAAGTCTCATTATTGTACATATTAATCAGAATGTATTAGATAATTTTTCTTCAATCTAAAGATTTTAAGGTTTTTATTTTATAGCGAAAAATTACTCACAATATCCGTTATTACAGTTCTGTCCAACAAATCCATGTTTACATCCATCAATGCAAACACCTGCGTTTGGATCACACTTGTCATAGAGACAGTTACGAGATTCACATCCCCAAATACAAGAACCATTTCCCGGGTAACAGTGATGGTCTATACAGTTAGCAGGACATGCATTTGTACAATTTAGACCCCATGTACCTTTCCAGCATCCTACAAGTACAAAGTACATAATACGAAAATGATAGTAGTGGGATATTTCCTCATTGAAACAACAACCTTATGACATTAATAGTAAAATGACAACTATAGATATCAAGGAAAGTCTTCAATATAACAATATAATGTTTGTTAAGCACCGACATAATCAAACGGAATATTTTGAGGAACTGGCATCAAATCAAAATCATCAACTTCTTTTTTTACAGATAGTTATTTTCCTAGTATCATTCTTGTGTTTGCTTACATAACTGTATTTTGTCATCAAGAGAGTAAACACCTTTTATTTTAACAACAATATGTGTTATTTATTAATGTTGCAACCTTGTACAGAAACGTTAATTAAAGATAAGGGTATACATCCAATACCTGGTATTTCGTTTATATATTATTTCAAATCCTTTCAAAATCAAACTACTTTAATTAATTATAGATTAAAACAATAACATAATATGGTTACTGTACTTTCAGTACTTACTATGATGTCGGAATATATACTGCAGCTGTGCTATTTGCGCTGTCAAATTGCATTGACCGTATAATCATTTGTGATATACAGTCACTGACCGTGTATCACCTTGTTTGTGACGTTAACAATGCGTTTCCGTAGAGTTTTATTTATGACGTCATTAAAAGGTACAGGTTCGCGGAATTTTTACGTCGTTCGCTCAAAATCAAAAAATGATGGGTTTTACCGTAAATAATTCATTTGGAACAGTTGTAGGAGTTGCAGTATATAAAGAATAACCATACATTGTCTCGAAATATAAATTTTATTTGTACTCGGCTCAAAACAGGATAGAAATGTTCGGCAGAGCCTCGCTTTCTACCTGTTTCTAAGCCTTGTACAAATAAAATTTAGATTTCGAGACAATGTATGGTTCTTATATATAAAGTCATTCAGCAGGTAAACCGATGCTTAAGAGAGTGTCCGTTTGGCTTGGCATGATGTATAAATACGCGTCAACGTCCGGTCAGAATGGGAAAGTGGGTTCCAACAGAAAGCGTTACACTCAAGTTAAAAAAAAGACTTGCACAAGCACTGTAAATTTCTGACTGTATCCAGCGTGTCCTGTTCTCGACCTTTACGCCGATGGACCTGCCTTACAAAACTTCCTATTGAATTGATACTTATTTTAATTCTGTCCTTGAAATGCCTTTGCGCATAAATGTTACGCAACTAACAAGTTATAAATCAACCTGGTAACATTAGTTTATGAATATCACTGTGACTTCATAAACATGACAACAGACGCAAGGTTATTCATCCAAACGGATTCTTCTTCGTTGACTATGTTTTATATATTACAGGCATTTTTTTTTATAATTCAGTCATTCTGTAACTGTCTTTGTATAAATTGACTAAAATACTAAGTCATTTTGTAATATGCCCGAAATTTGAAACAAAATTCAAGAAATTGTCTGATAAATTTAATACTGTATAGAAAAATGAAACTAATGACAAACACGATAAAAAAGATACTTTGAAAAAAAAAACAATTAACAAAATGTTCAGATCTATTCTCACACTAGAGGTAGAAATTGAAGTGGTTATAGTTATAGCATCTGTCAGTGCTTTTAGTACTTCTCCCTTCTTATATCCAGTGTGAAACAACTTTGAGTATCTACAACACTGTATTTCAAGGTTTCTTTTAATAGATATGATCATCCCTTCAAAATGACACTAGGGCGAAATTGTTATAAAACATATCAAGGATTTATTAACTAACAAATAGAAAAACTACATTCCCAGAAAAAATGTGTTATATGGAGCTGACAATAATGCGGAAATATTTTCAAGGAACAAAAATAGATAGGAGCAAAGAATATGTTGTTAGCAAAATTCTTACACTAAGTGTTCGACTTGTGCAAAGTACATACATGAGCAAATATGCCTGATACTTTTGTTTGGTTTTTTTTCTGTGTTCAAGTGAAGAGCTAATAACAAAACAACCAGCATGCTAACAATCTGACAGTAGTTTTACTAATATTCAATCTTTTTTTATTTTGATAATGATATTATAGTTAGAGTGGAACCTCAATCTCCATTCCATTGGATTAATTTTGCAGAACCTACTTCGTGGATTCATTGTATATTTTCTCTCATTCTCTATATGCGTGATATTTTTGCCACTAGGCGTTAGGCAAACATGAATCAAAACTGAAATAGTGTGAGGGTCCGGTAGTAACCAAATTTGGCTGCATTGATCGTGGTAAGACCAGATGTAACTCCGAAAGTTGTATGTGCAAACATTATGATTGTGTTACAATCCCTTGCCATCAAAACTTTAAATGTAGTAGCATATATTTATCAAATATAATGTTTTTTTAATTGTAAATAATTCGGGCGACGTATATTTGCGCTAATTTGAATTTTGACAGGTATTACTTTTGCGCGAACAAAGTGGTACTTGGTAATATGGTATGGATGCGCGATTAAACTTTAATTTACCTGAATATTTATCCTGTATTTTAATCCTAAAATAACTTGGACTTAACGATTTCTTTGATGAAAATTAAATGTATTGCTAAATTTATGATCACAGAGGTCTTTATGTGTTTATATAACCACTAAATAGCATTACGTACATGTCAATCAATGACTTGAGTAAATAGTATGTTTTTCCTAGAAATGTTACATTCTATATATATATATATATATAACCGGAATCAAATGCAGGTTGAGTATTCTAGGCATAAACAATTTGAAAGTCAGTCCCTATAAAAAGAAGATGTGGTATGATTGCCAATGAGACAACTTTCCACAATAGACCAAATAACACAGAAATTAACAACTATAGGTCACCGTACGGCCTTCAACAATGAGAAAAGCCCATACCGCTGTTGTCAGCTATAAAAGGCCCAGAAATGACAAATGTAAAACAATTCAAACGAGAAACCTAACTGCCTAATTTATGTACAAAATAATGAACGAAAAACAAATATGAAACACAGCAACAAACGACAACCACTGAATTACAGTTTCCTGACTTGGGACAGGCACATACAGAATGTGGCGGGGTTCAACTAGTTTATTGGCACCAAACCCTCCCCCTAACCTAGGACAGTGGTGTAACGGCACAATATAAAACAAACTATGCAAAACAGTGAACAAAAAACAAATATGAGACACAGCGAAAAAATCGAAAACCACTCAATTACAGGCTCCTAACTTGGGACAGTTCTGGTCTTTGAATCCTAGCGATTCACGATGACATGGACGTAAAAATTCGATTTCACAAGTAGGACATTTCAAATGTTGTTGAACTGTGAAACTGGTTATTCCTTGTCTGTGTCGATTAATGTAGTACTACGTAGTTACATTTGCTTGCAGAATGATCTAAAATTCAGCAGATAATCTTTTTATTTTTAATCCTCTTTTTTTTAATTTTAATCAGAAATCATAATTTTACAATTTTTTAATTCTTTTTTATTTTATTTTATTAAGTAATCGAGAAAATAAACGTAATGTTTTTTTCTTGCACAGTCAAACGTTCTGTGGCTCCTTAAAATAAAATAAGAAAACATTTATTCGTACGAGTAGATGTAGAGTAATCTACGATCAACTTTCATACTAATATTATTTTTGTTGGTAATAAGAACCCGGACCTTCATAAAAATCATTTAGTCCTCTGGGCTGCATAATTTTTTGCACGGAACAAATTTGAATTTCCATCGAAGACTCCAACGATCAGATTTTCGTGAACATTTAAATATCTTTCTGACAAAATAAAACTCGTGAAAATATCAAGAAGCATATGAATCCGGTCTTGTGAGCAAAATTTACGTTGATTGGAGTCAGAGTAGCTTTTGTGGAAACATTGATATGTATTTTAAATTTTGTTATACCTGAACACGTATAACAAAAGTTAGGGGATCTATATTTGAAAACACCTCAATTGTTAAGGCCTTTTACATAATGCTTTAATTTGGAAAATGCTTATCAAATACATTGTATACTACGTCAACAAAACATACAAAATACTACCAACCATATATTTCTATATAGCATATTTCTACGAAGGCACCTTCGCCAGAAGTTCTTCTGTTGAAGAAATACACATTTTTCGTGAGGCGGTTGCAATTGATATCCTGGGTAACGTCAGGATAACCAGCTATTCCTTGATCTGTATAGCAACGGAATTTATACGAAGCATGAACGGAAGTATTGGATAGATATAAACGAAAATCATTCATACGGTCTGGTTCTGTAAAAGAAATAATATCAAATTCACAGTAGATATGCAAGAATGAATGCATGTAGCAGATAGATAATCTCAGTTGATAGTAATGTTAAAATTAAAAATACTTTATTCATATAATACAAGTTATTTGGTTTTCCTTTAGCAACAGTTACTGTTTAAATGAACATGCATGTATAAACTATGACTTTTACCGCCTACGTACAGTTCACATTCAGAATTCTGAGTATTGATTAGGCACCGACCAATCGTCTTTCCTTTTGGAGGGCATAGATTTTTTTTCTCGGGAACAATAAATTGTTTTCGACTAATTATGTTTTTAATAATTATATCAAACACGTACAGGAACTTGGATAAAAAAATGAAAATTCAATGATAAAATCATGTTTTCTATAATTTTTAATGGCGACAAACTGTTTTATTTCAAAATAAGCAATGTATTTAAAAATAGCCCCTCCCGCACACACACAAAAGATGAATGGTTTATGCCTTGGTGCTTCTGAAAATTATGAACGTGAGTACTACAAATGTATTACTATACTGCATAACTGATTAAGCTGCGTGTAGCTGATATACAAACATGTAGTACATTAAAAATTATGATTTTGTAATGTTTACTCAATATGTAAAATAATGATATTTAACACAACAAGTTAATATATCAACATATTTTGTCAGCATTTTTAAGACTTGGAATTTTAGATTTTAAGACCAATTAATCAGATATTCCTTTACATGAATCGTTGATCAAAATCTGGAGAAAAAATAATGATATCCAATAGAAAAGGACTCGTTATATTATCTTGTATCATATTATATTTACAGTTTATGTTAAATATGATTCAATGACAAAGGATCGATTCCCCAGATTTTCAGATACAAAGAGATTTTCATTTGCAAATTAACCAAAGACATTAACATTGGTGGAGAGAGGGAAGTTTGGGGAAGCCGTAATAATACAAGGTACATGTAGTGAGATGTTTTTTCTGGTAGTATGCTTGCTTCAGAAAAGTGCGCTCATGGTAGTAATTTTTAGTAATGTTTTTTTTTCAAAAATCATTTAATAAGTGTCTTCAGAAAAACATTTATTTAAAGAGACTGAAAAGAAATTAATAACAAATTAAAAGCTGAAAAGGAAATTTAGTCAGTAAGTTCCACATTCAGCTTGAATAAATAGGCCCTGTTAGCATTTTTAATATTTTATCTACATACATGATAATGATTGTGATTTTGTTTTGGCTTGATAACCGGTACCGTTAAAACAATGTAGATGAGCAAATTTATTCTGTGAAATGCCTTGGAAGAAATTATCTACACTTACTGTCCCCTCTATAATATAATTTAATATTTGTCATGTAGACTAGTTTTGGTAGTAGTAATCCCCACCATGCTGTCCGTCGACCCGCAGCTGTAGACGAGCACCCATCATTCCAGTCATTATTTGCTGGTCCTTCAATAGCGAAATGTGCACCGAATGTTTGGTATATTGTACTTTGTCTCACCTCTCCTTCTAAAGCAAGGTTTTCTGAAAATAATGAGGATGCACAGTATATTTTAAATACATGTACATTTTTTAAGTGTACCATTGGAGATTTCCAATAAATTCGATATTAATCCATGTATCAACATATCTGAATGGTACTTGACCTCGGGCATTGATTTATTCTTGCTTGCATAATGTCCAGTGGCAAGTATATCATACATATCCTAGCAGATCATACTGCATTGTAGAAGATGAACTGGATAATATACCGAATGCTTTTATTTTGTTTGTTTTATATGCATTGTTTGAAATTATAGATTGTTTTTACAAAACGATTATCTTTAAAACAATATTTGAAGGAAAAAACTATGTAAATTTGTTGTTGAATGTACTTATCATTACTTAGTCTTTTCACTAGTTCTTGACCTTTATATAAAGTTTTTATTTCTCTTGAATTGATTTTGAACTACTTAATCAAAACTTAGTCTGAAAATTATGAAATTATTGAAATTGAAAAATAAATGATATACACAATTTAATCTCATTTTTTATTGCTTTTAAGAGGCTGTGCCAATAAGCATAGAGCTTCAGGTGGAAAGTGAAAAAAAATCATAAAACCTTGGTTAAAATGAACATATTACGCTTATAAGACTATATGACAAGCAATAACGATCAAACGAAAGAAAATTAAGCTCTTTTGGCAGTCAAATAATGGTTACCATAGAAACAAGTCAATCTGAGACACTATTTTTTGTAAAAAACAGGATATTCCGACATGAAATATAATATCAGAATAAAGAATACTGGTCACTGCAAGTAAATATTTTAATTATATAACCTTAAAATGATAAGCTAACAAAAATCGCATTTAAAAAAAATGTTTATTTATGGTTGCTATGGTACAGGAAAATCAAATGGTTCAAGTTTATAAATTTTACACAAAAATAAGCAATTTTTGGGTCAAAATTGTAAATAATCCAGATGTATGTAGTATGAAATATGGTACTGACAAAATTAAGTAACTATCATGTAATTCAAAGAAAAAATAAAATTGGGTAGACATTTGTATTTATATTGGTGGCAGCTACCCAACATTATGGTGTTTCGAAAGCAATTTTGTACAAAAACTAAAAATATTATAAAAAAAAATACACATATGATTTAATTTGTACTGACAAACAAATGTCACACAAAAGTGTATTCAATTGAGTAGGAAAGTATGCATAAAATCTCCATGGCAACCATCTGTTTTGCATAGCAACCAACTGAGGCTGAAAATATACAATGTTGATTTTTAACATAGGGGTGAAATTCATTTGTTTGCTTATATCTCTGAAATTAAAGCATTTACTCATGATTTAGAGCAAATCTGACTTTTGAAAATGTTCATTAAGTCAAGTTCTATCTGTCCTGAAATTTCATTAATCGTTAGAAAAACCGTTGTTGAGTTTCTGCCCCTGAATTGGTAATATTATTATTGATAAAGATAAATTGTAAACAGCAAAATGTGTAGCAAAGTAGTCTACAAATATGTCAACATGATCAAAATTGCCATTGACCCATAAAGAGTTATTGGCCTTTAAAGTAAATTCTTCACAATTTTTCGTAAATTTTGTATTTTTTTACAAAAGTATTCTCCTCTAAAACAACTGGGCTAAATAAACCCATACTTGGTCTAAATTCATTCAATGTCTAATATCCTGTTGATTTATCAATAAAGTTATCATAATTTTGATAGACTTGAATAATTTTATTTTTTTTGTTTTTTTGCAATGTCAGGGTTCAAATAATGGCTTGTATCAAACCTCCCTCTTTGTCAGATAAGATTGTCAACAAAATATAACTCAACTGACTTTATTGTAGGGTTGTCATATCAAATAGAAATTAAAGTGAATATTAAAGGTTTGATCTTTTTATCTTTTTAAACTTTTGTGGTTAAATCTTTACAGAGCCCATTATGTGCGATATAAATATAAATATTTTTGTTTGCTGTAGATTTAATCAGGTGCGCATCCGTTTGAAAATTCGTGTTCATGACTTTTAAATTGGTGCGCACGACTTCGAACGTCATGCGCACAACTTTATACTTGTGCGCATAAGTTTCAAAAACTTGTGTGCATAACTTTCAAAAATAGTTCGCACGACTTTCAAACTTGTGCGCTCTTCCGTATTGAATCAATCAAACTTTGTTTGAAAGTCGTACCTACTAGTTTTATATGACCGCAAACATTTTTGTTTTGCGTCGTATATTGGTATGATGTTGCGTCGTCGGCGTCAGCGTCGTCCGAAGACACATTGGTTTCCGGACAATAACTTTAATTTAAGTGAATGGATCTCTATGAAATTTTACCAGAAGGTTCAATACCAAAAAAGGAAGCTTGGGATTGATTTTGGGGGTTATGGTACCAACAGTTAAGGAATTAGGGGCCAAAAAAGGTCAAAAACAAGTATTTTTGCAGTTTCCGGACAATAACTTGTATTTAAGAGTATGGATCTCTCTGTAATTGTAGCATAAGGTACCATATCACAAAGGAAAGGCTTGAATTGAGTTTGGGGGTAATTGCCCAAAATGTTTAGGAATTAGGGGGGAAAAAAGTGGCCTAAAACAAGCATTTTTCTAGTTTCCAGACAATAACTTGTGTTTAAGTGAAGTGTATGAATCTCTCTGAAATTGTACTGCAAGGTTCCATGTCACAAAGGAAAGGCTTGGATTGAGTTTGAGGGTAATTTCCATAAATATTTAGGAATTAAGAACCATAAACAAGCATTTTTTTTCTAGTTTCCAGACAATAACTTGTGGTTAAGTGTATGAATCTCTTTGAAATTGTACTGCAAGATTTTTTTTGCGGGGGGGGGGGGGGATTCATAATTTTTTGTTTTTTTTCCTTAAAATTTTCCATTTTTCCATTGATTATTTCTGATTTATATATAAAATAAAAAATACTGATATGGCAGGAGAAACACAACAAACAGGATGTGTAAATTATTATATTAAGTATTGTGTAATAGCACAGTATTGCGCAATATCACAATATTGCACAATAGCAAAAAATCTTCAGTTACACAGTATTGCGCAATAGCAAGAAATCATCATTTACACAGTATTGCGCAATAGCAAGAAATCTTCAATTGCACAGTATTGCGCAATAGCAAGAATTATTCAATTGCACAGTATTGCGCAATAGTAAGAAATGTTTAATTCTACAGTATTGTGCAATAGCAAAAATATCCAATTGTACAGTATTGCGCAATATCAAGAAATCTTCTATTCCACAGTATTGCACAATAAGCAAAAAAATATCAGATTACAAAATATTGCGCAAGAGCAAGAAATCTTTAATTGAAAATTGATAAAATTATTTTGACCCATTTCAAATTTTTAAGATCTTTCACCACATTTATTTTGTGTCCGAAACCTATATTATGTCAAAAATTTGATCACAATCCAAATTCAGACAGTATCAAGCTTCAATATTGTGTTTGACCTTAGCGGTCGTATCAGACTGCGCTCGGCGAAGCATTTTATTGAAAGTTGTGCACAAGTTAAAAAGTCGTGCGCACGATATTTCAAACTGGTTCGCATCACATTAAATCTCAGGCAAATGAAAATATATATTATTATATTTACATGGCACTTAAGGGACTCCGTAAATGTTTGACAATCTCTTCATATTTTAATTTATTTGGTGATCAATCTTTGCATCACCTTGTCCTGCAAAATTGATCAATGTTCTTTCAAGTTGGCGTTGATGAAAAGGGATACAACTGCAATGAAAAGTTTCTATTCTTAGCAAATATATTTTAATCAGAGTTTTTTAGCTAATTCATCAGATATTAGGGAGATCACATGTATAGAAAAGAATGTATGATATTGGAACAAATTGGACCTAACAATATTTGTAATCAAAACCGTTCCTAATGGGAAAAATAAAAAAATGATTCTATATACTTATACAATAGATAAAACATTAATGCAGTTTAAGTTTAAGGTATAATTCTTCCATGGATATATATCAGTTTTAAAATGAGAGTAGGTTCAGTAAAATGACAGATTTTATTTTGTGTCAGATGAACTCAAATAAGGAGTTGTGGTATAATTGCCAATAAGACAAATATACACAATATACCAATACTATTGTACTCTTCGTCCAAATATTTATAAATATCAACAATAATGAGCTCTAATAATTATATTGTTCTTGAAAAACTATGTAGATGTATAAAAATTATAAATGTGAGGGTCACTCCTCCTAGTTAGTTTGTAATTTAATGTTTATGTTTGTATTGTTCACATGTGCTTTAATATTTAATGTAATTGTTTATACAGATATATTCTCTGTATCTATGTAATTTGTAGTTAATGAGAAATAAAATTCATTCATTCAAAATGATGTAGATCTTATCTAAAGATCTACTATTGGTCTTCTTACAACCTTCACCATTGAGCAAACCCCATACTCTATAGCAAGCTATAAAAAATGATAAAAACAACAGCATGAACAAATGTTTAAAACAAATAAATGAGAAAACCGATGCCAGATTTAGGCTTAAACTATAAACTAAGAAATAATTATGGCAGACAGCAACCAATAAAAATAAAATTGAGAATGGAAATGGGGAATTTGTCAAAGAGACAACAACCCGACCAAATGACTACCACTAAATCACAGGCTCCCAACTAGGGACAGGCACTTAACGAATTTGTGAGGCGAGGGGGTAATTTGTTTACAAGGGCTCAACCCTACTAGTCTTGAACAATAGTGTAAAATTTCGCAACAAAACTGTTTCAGCAACTTCCAGCAAATACCATGTAAATTGACTGATTGAGTCAACAGATTTTGAATTAAAGATGCTTGACCATAGTTCAAATAAAGCAAATAATTATTATGTAGGTTATTTTAATAGGATGTTGTGGGTGCTTTGCTTAGAAAAGGAAGTTAGATCAATAAGTAGAGTGAATTCTAATGAGATCAAGTCTGTAAAGTTGTCAGCTGTTAAACATATAAAAAATCTCATTTGTTTATGTGGAAAGGTTGGAATGAATGAACTGAATATTTAAAAAAAATCAAAATCATTTATAAAATTTAGGACTTAATATCACAT